CATCGCAGCACGCTATCTTCAAAAAAGTACAAGATGAACCCACATCTCCATGAGTACCCCCCGTGCTACTCGGAGGATCGCGTATGGTCCCAAGAACTTCTCCGCCGTCTTCTACATGGTGAGCGCGTACCGCGAAGTTCAACAGTGCACAACAGTGGCTTCAACATGTTTGGTGAACGCACTGCGAGGTAGGATATCTGAAGCTAGAAGTAAAGATATGCGTAATTTTTGAAAACCTAAAGCCTAGAACATAAATCTCTAAACATACACGTAATTCTTGCAAACCTAAAGCCTAAAGCATTAGTCTCTAAAATATATACGTATTTTTTGAAAACCTAAAGCCCAGAGCATAAATCTCTAAAATATACACGTTTCGTTTGAAAACCTCATTCCTAAAGGGTAAATCTCTGAAATAGAAGGGCATTAAACAATGACTGCATACGTGTACTGAAATGTTAATGTTTTCATAAACCGGTTTTGGTCATCGGAGTCTCGTCATCCAGAACTTCTACCTCAGCCCGTGCTTCTCGCCAAGGTCAAGCAGGAAAAGGTTCAGCGCGCGTTCCGGTCCCTGAAAACTACTCCGCAGACCACCATCGAGCTCGACTCCCCGTCTCCCAAGAACACTCGCGCTTCGCCGTCCTCTACGTTGCCCCCACCGAAGCGCGTCAAGGGCCCATTGAATCCTGATCTTCCGGGTCTTGTTTCTGGTCCAGATTCGGGTGATGAAGACGTTCTGCCCCAGATCGGCCATCGACCTGATGAACTGGAGGCAGAACTCGAGAGACTCATGGATGAGCAGGATCAGGAAGGTGATGCCATGGATGCGGATGACTGCCAGGTGTCTTTGACGATGGCATGTTGCAGCGCATGGACGCGTCCTTCCTCAAAGCGTTCCTGAACCCATCCGCCACACATCTGAATTTGCATTTTGTTTTGTTTTGATACTGCCAAACTTGTGAATATATCCCTAGTTTTGTTTGAAATCATGTAATTAAGCGTTTCAGGAAGAAGACGCGACTGTGTGGGCTCGGCATTCGTCGGCGCAGTTTGATCAGGGATCAGGACGACATGCGTGCAACAACCCGTACCACAGGGACACTGATGAGAAGCTCTACAAGGAAATGAAGGCTTCAGGCTTGCGCCAAATCACGTATGAGGACTTCCTCAAGATCATCAAACCTTCATTTCTTGCTGTTGATGAGGATGAGGATCTCGATGCTATCTTGGCCAAAACACACCTTATCGTACTGACCGAGTCAGGAGTGTACCATCGCGTTGCTAGCACATCGAAGGACCCAGTGAACTTCATCGAGTGGGACTCTAACCAACCCAAGGATCTCATGGCTCCATCGCAGCACGCTATCTTCAAAAA